AGGTCTGCGATAGCGGCTACTGCCCGGCGAATGTCACCATCTTTGACTTCATAAGAAGGGGAAGATTTCTGCCCAATGGCCGGCTTGGAGTCAGCCCAAAGTTGTCGCAGTGTATATCCTGTCTTCGGTTTCATGTATTTTCGGTTCCAAACTGCGTTGTGAGACCATTGGGGTGCGTTGTGATTTATTTCTACTGAATCTCTTTTCATGTCGTATTCTCTTAACATGTCGTCGAGTTCTTTGAGGGTTGCAGATCGATGAATACAACATTGCCGGACGGCACCATCGATGTGTAGCGGCCATCCCACTGGCATGTGGGAGTCTTCCAGAAGCCCATCACCATTTTGTTCGATGATTGTGCCTAGCATTGGGACGTCAATTGTTGCCTTGAGGCTGACCTGCGCTCGTTTGCATTTCCATGCATCCGGTGCCAGCAAGCCATGTGAGGCCAGTAATGCTAGCGCTGGGAATTCTGGTTGATCTTTCATCGGTAGCACCTCTTCTTTAATAACCAGTTTGAGACCATGTAGCGGTTGGGGCTGGCTTTGGTCTGTTTGAGGTGTAGGTCCTTTGGGCACCGCGAGGTCTTCGAACCAGGTGGGGCGGACAGACTGGACACCTATTGCACTGGCGGAACTCGCGTTCTTGATGCTTTCCCTGCGCAGGCTGTGGTAGACAGGAGGGATCATCCATGCGGGCACAAAGACAGTAATAAACTGAACGTTCCAGATGACGTGTAGGTTCTGCGGCTTAATTTCTGGGGTGATGCATCTAACTTGGCCATCTATGACTCGCGTGTACGATTCAGATCGGTCAAACGATGCTGTGACTTTTAAGCCGAGGTATAGTTCTCTAAACCAGTATTCCTTGAGGAACATAAAGGAAAGGTGAGGTGCCCTCACTTCCAATACGTGCGTTGCTGGTATCAGGAACGTGACTAGCCATTCCGCCAAAAATTCGATCATCCTTGCCTCAAGCTTTGGGAGGATTTTCTGGACCGCCTGGAGCGCTGTCTCGATGTCTGGGACGTGTGTTGCCGAGGGTAGTCCTACTGTTCGTCTGGCATATTCGTCAGCAAAGTAGAGTCGGCACAATTTGGAAACCCACTGGCTTGGTTTCTCCATATCGATCGTGATCTTAGCCAGGGGCCATGGGTCGGGTAGCGTGGAAAGGCAATGCAGTAACTCGGAAGTAAGTTCTGGAGATATGACTGGGAGCGCTCCTCCTTGTGGGCGATAATCTGCGGTTGACCCTGCTGTTCCTTTGCTCATTTGTGTGTGGATGCGGGCCGCCTTATGCACTTCTTGTATGGTGGACTCATATTGGTTGACCATAGCTCTTAAGTACTTACATGCGCGGACCGCTGCCCGCCTTGTATTTGGCCCATCTTCCGCCTGATTCTTGGCGGCTGTCGCAAGGATGTCTCTCGCTTCTTCCTCTGGCGACCGAGTTGATTCCGAGGGTGTAGCAGGAGTGATATCCCGGACTGGCGCTTCTTTGGTGCGTGGTAGATTACTGGGGATTGGTAGCGTTGGATGTACCCGCCATCCATCAAAGAAGTACATACCCGGCAAGGGTAGGATTTCCTGTTCAGGGCCGGCCTGCGCCACAATCTGCCCAGTACGCGCCTTGTGCAAACCTGAGGGCAGGCATACATATGTGGGAAAGGGCGTTCAGCTGCGTAGGCATACAGGACGACTTCCGGGAACGGGAGATTTTGCACAGGAATCCATTTGTGTTCAGCTCCTAGCCAGAACAAACTCCACTCACCCAACGAGTGGGCCAGCTGGTTACCATCCAATCCGAAAAAGAAACTCACGATCCATGTGCGCAGACTTTGCTGCTCACGGGCGCTCCGAGCTGTCCAACAGAGAGTGTGAAAAACGTAAACCCAAGTACACCTCTCGTGTACCCAAATCAACGCTTTCGTTATCTCACTACGCCAGACGCAAACACCTACTGTGGTTGCGGCCCCGCAGTTACTTACTTCTCTGCAATGTCAAAATAAAGGAACTTGTTCCACCCTGACTCCTAAGTGCACGTCAGACTCCTTCTTTTCTCTCCAGACGCCACACACAACGGAACAGGTCAACAGGAACCAAGGCAGGCACACGGCCACAAACCAAAAGGGGGGGGTTCCAGTGTGGCTACTGTTTCAAATGCCCTAGGTGACACTGCAGTTCAGTTCGCTTCGGAACACTTGACACCACTCCCTTGAGCCGATGTCTCAACTGGAAACTCGATTCCAGGTTTCCAATACACAACCTTCCCTCAAAGGTTGTTGAAACAATTCCAAACTGCTATGATATACAAATCACCTAGTCACAAAACGTCAGAAACATTTCCAAAAGTTCTCAAGTCAAACTGGTTCTCGTCCAAACGCAAATAACCAGCTAGCCGGTGTTACTAGTCTCTACCAAACGTCTAGACTAGTTACACGGCTATTCAAGAACGAAATGATCCATTCAAATTCCTTTACAAAATTCTCTTGCAATACAGAACAACATGGGAACCTCATGTTCCATCTCCAAAACAGTTCTTCACACAGAGATGTCTTCTCATAGCTCCAAACCACCAAGGAGAGCAGAATGTTCTGCTCTACTTCTCAGCTAATATCCAGTCATCAGCAGTCATAGCGCTAAAGTAGTTCGCTTACTGCAATAACCAAACGTCAGCAATAAGTCACAAATACAAAGGTCACAAAGTAGACTTCCAGATCAAATACCCAGAGGTCGAATACTATACGTAGGCATTGTCCTCACAATGCCGGAGTATCTCACATACTCGCAAGAGGTAATCAAAAGGCTTCACAAACATCTCAGATGTACGAAGCAACGTCAAGAATCGAAACGGATGTTCCAAAACCATCTCCGTCAGATTCACACTCCCATAAGGAGTCAAGGAACCTCCGAGATCGATGAAACCATATCATCCCGACTCAACTGTATAGCGAATGCTTCTGAAAGCATTCGCCCACTGTCACAAAGCTAAATAAAGCTTCAAACTGTATTCAAAGTAGCTTGAGCTCCGTGTAGATTCACTCAGACCCACAGGTCGATATCTCAAATCATCTCTTGCAGCTCCGTGTACCACAAAGGAATATCGAAACTACTTAAGTCTGTTGTAGACACCTTCCCATAGTCCAGTTTCACTACTGAAAACTCAATGAATGCTTGTCGCACCAATGCCAAGTTGCAACCCCATAAGGGTGACAAACTTCCACACCCCCTTTCGACATGACATTCATCTCTCTCTTTACATACATACTAAAATTCACATCCAGTATGAACTTCGACATACCTTCAATGTCAGAGGTGTAGAAGACGTCGTATTCGCCAATACACTTCGATATTCCATCATTTCAGCACATCTTCGAAATAATGTTGAAGACTTTGTTGAAGTGCTTGTAGATGTTCTTCATCCACCAGCGTAAATGAAGTCTAAACTCTTCTGAAACACACGAAGTTTCCAAAAAAATATAACTGTCTCTGAGAAATCAACTGATTCTCAAAAGTATCTTCCAGCTTGAAGTCGTTCAAGATTGAAAGTAGAATAGAATCGCTCCAACTCTGGATGATTCTCAAAAAAAAAACGGTTGTCCCTCCAACGCTTCGTTCATCATAAATAAACAGTCTATTCATATCCATAACCATCGCCAACGCTGATTTCAGCAATACTCCATAGACGTCTCCATGGGCAAAGCTCCCATCTATTCTCAACCAGTCAACATCACCAGCTCAGAATCCATCAACCGTCCCAAGGTGTCTCTTCGGAACGATTTCTTTCTTCCCATACCAGATCATCAACTGATCGAAGAGACCATGGCGTCAATTCACGATCAACTACAGTGCTGTTTGTTGTTCCCTAGAACAAACGGAAAAAAACACCAACAACACACACGAGATCCAAGACGAAGACAGACGAAGCACTGTCGGAATCAACACAAAAACAAAGGCCGACTGTTTCAGCTAATCCACGTCTTCCAATGGAAGATAGGCGTGTCAGACAAGCGAAACTGTCATCAGTCTAAAAATACTCAGATAAAATCCACATTCGTGGAAATAAAATTAAGTTCAAGACATTGTTGCACCACGCAGACTCAGCTTCGGACAAGCTAAGTATTAGGCGCGCTAAGCTCAGGACATATTTCCAAAGACAGACCTTGCCCCCTTTTGAGGTAAAATCCATCAATCCTCAAACATCACTAAAGAAATGAATTCTGGTCAGCATAAAAGCTGATCTATCGCATAGTGAAAAACTACCAAAACAAACTTACAACCATATATTAACAACGTCAGGGAAATCCATTCCACTGACATCAACATATTTAGAAACGTCAAGAGTACAATTCCAACAATATTGACATGTACCTTAAGTCAGGGATGTCCAATCCACTGACATCCATGGGCAAAAAAACTAAAACACTTTGACCAAACAAAAGATTTTACATGTATTTCCATCAGACATTTAGCCTGGATCCTCTTTGATTCTTCTTTCATTCGAGAATCGGACCTGGCCATGTCATCATCTGGAAAATGGCGGCAGACAAATACAAACCACCATCAACAACAAAAAACAACAATCACAAAACACAAACTCACAACGAATCCACAAACATGCTCATGTGCAACTTATGTCTCATGCATGTACTGCACATCCACTTTCACTACCAAGAGTTGATCCTTCCAGGATACAACTAAACTCCATGATGCGAACTTCTTCTAGGTTGCACTAATGCAACCTCTCGCCCCCTTTCAAGATCCGCTTTCCCTCTCTCCTTTTCTGCTGAGCACAGAGATCTGAAGTGACGGCAACGAATACATGCTGAATAGAGTGAACCTTCGAGCGGGCCAAAGGTTGGAATACCAATTACCAACTATTCTCTCTACCGCACAGGTTGCAAGAAAATCAGAAAAGAATATACATCATGGGTTCCACCCAAAAGAAGCGGACGGGCTTCCCTCAACTCTCAGTAGTCGATGTCCCGAATCTTCACATTCTCAGTAAATCCTCCTGAACTGAGAGTTCCCATCACGAATCATCCCCAATCCCTGGGGCGCCCAGATACTGGTGATTCCGCTGGTTTGTTCAGGACGGTATGCCGTCGGTGACAATGTCCTCTGTACACCCGTTCCCGCATCTCTGGTAACGATGCCCACACGCTGGCACGGTTTTGTGATCGGAAGGGGAGTATTTGGTCTCGGCCCGTTCGGCTGTTCCGGACAGAACGCCATAAAGAGTGACACTGGCTCTGCCGGAGGTGGTGGAACTGCTGGGGCAGGGGCAGGTCCGGGTGATGTTGATCCTCCCGGATTTGCAGTCCCAGCAGGCCCAGTAGTTCCAGGGGCACTGACCGTTCCTGGTGTGAGAGGAGTTCCTGCATCTCCCACGGCATCTGGAGCTGCAGCATTCTGAGCTCGTTCCTCTAGGAGTTTCACCATCTCTCGAAGATGCCTTCCAATGCTATCAAAGCCACGACTGAGGTTGGTCTCCAACTTCTTTGTTTGCTTCTCTACTTCACTTTGGACTCCCTGTATGTTGGCTTCCACTGACTGGTTGCCAGTTAGAGCCCAACGACCAGTGGCAGCCCACCAGTCGAAAGCTTTGAGAAGCTTGGTCGTTTCTCCGGCCTGAAACGACACTCCTGATGTCATCGTTGTTATGCAGGTCGCTTGATTCTGAATCTGGACACTCAATTCTTCAAATCCTTTCTTCATTTCCACTCTTCCTTGGGTGAAATGCTCCATGGTGATGGCAAGCTCTTCACTTACATTTGCAAGCCTGTTGGAACACTCTGAGATCTTCCGAGCCAATTCCGTACTCACAGCCAAGACTTCAGCCGCGTTCACATCACCAGGTGGGGTGATCACTGGAGGAACCGGTGGAAACGGAGCATTCACGTCTCCTGGAGTTCCTTCTGGCATTGTTCCTCCTGGTGGCACAGATCCATCTGCCAAAGGTACGGTTCCATCACCCACTTCAGCACCTGCCGGAGGACCAGCAACATCTCCCATGCCGGCACCAGTGCTATCCAACACTGTGGAATTCTCAGGACCCAAGTTGGCAGCATCAGCCTCAGCGCCACGTCCTCTGGAACGAGAACGGATTCGGCTGCTGCCGCCATGACCGTGACCTTCTTCAGCAGCCATTCTCAACGTACGCTCCAAACGAGTTCTAAGAGCCTGTACTACTCTACTTGAAAATCCCTGCTGGCAATAGAGCCTCATGCCCTACAATCTCAATGTCTCAAACATCAGAACAAACAAACAAACCAACCAACATGATGTGTATGCTCAACAATACAACTAACTGACTAAGATGTTTCCCAAAATTCCAGATGTCTCCAACATACTGGAATTTTGCGAACCATTGATACACATGTTTCAACATGCAATAAAAGTCTGTACTCGTCCCAAACCATGGGAAACTGACCAAACCCCTTTACAAAAAAATGCCAGTCCCCAATCCATGGAGGACCATCACGAGTTCTAATGAGTTCACTGTGCGTTCCCTGCTATATGCAGTGCAGACTCACTGTCACTCATTGACATGCATGCAGATGTTCTGGAAAAGAACAGGTCTCCGTGGTTTTGCAAGAACCCTTCGACAAGTCATCTTCACAAAAACTGCACTCGTCAAATGACACACTGACTGCAAATCTCAACTGCAAGAGCAAGGAGCATTGCAAACACTCAAACTTGTTTGTGTTTCATGTTTCGTTTGTTTCGTTTCGTTTAGATTGAAATTCCACATGATTGCATCTTCTCATTTTGCAACATGTTCGCATCGACTATTGAACCATTCTCGTCATCGATCACAAGCACCCAAAGCGAGCTTTCCACCGTTTTGCCACGGCTTGCAAGGCTCAAACAAAAACTTAAAGCACAATAATCTACAACTCGCCCACTCTTCAGTTCCTAGCAGGACGCTCACGAACCGGCTCATTAGCAACCATGGGATCGATGACCTGATAGAGCAATCTTCCCTGCTCATCATATTCTTCTGGAAGAAGAAATCCGTACCAACGGAACTCACCAGGTCGAACCTTCTCCATTATCTCTGCTTCCATCTTGCGAAAGTATCCCAAAGCAGTTATTTCCACTTGAAGAAGGCTGAACTCGAAGTAGTTGAAAGTGTGACACCATTGAACATCCGTGGCACGCCCGATTGGCGCATGGGTCGCACTCAAATCGATCCTGGAGGTATGGATATCTGGTTGGATTCTATGATGCGTCCGCAGCTCTTCCATCTGTGGTGGGGCGAGAGCTATCCAAAGACGAATGCTATCCTCCATTGAGTTCAAACCGAGATTACACTCCTGGACTCAGCAAAGAAAAATGGCTTCGTGGCATCGATGCAAACATGCAACTCAATTGCTTCTTCATGTGGATTAACACTCACTGCAAATCTCAGTCCATGCTGATCTCTTGACTGTGAACTCTGCCGCTTACAGTTCTTCCAAACCAACGACCTACAAGTCTACAGTCAACTTCCAACTCAACACGACAACTCCACACGCCTAAACTCACAGTTTCACTACAGCAAAGCAAACTGCCCATCCGTCACATGAGCAACGCAGACCCACAGGCTGCTGAAGATACCCTTTCTTCTTTCTCCTCTGCATTTCAAACTGGAGTTTCAAATAAAAATTATACCTAATACTCCATGGTCTGCCCAACTTCTGTACCTGGACCCTGACCAGTTAAATGAACTTGGCGGCCATCTCACTAATACGGTATAACATGCGTCCTTGGCTATCCCGTTCTTCATGCTTCACAGGCCCATGCCAGCGATACTCGGTGGGCTTTGTCTTCTCCAAGATTCCGCCCTCAACCTTTTGAAGGTAGCCAAGCGCTGAGATTTCCATCTCCATCACTGCATAGTCTTTCTGATGGTACTCACCTTTCAATCCATCAGGCGTCCAATCCATAAAGTATTGGGCACGATCCACAGCTTCCGCAGGTCCCAAACGCAGACCAAAGCGACCGGAGTATCCATCTGGAAAAACCTCATTGCCCTTGTTCAACTCTTCCAACTGCTTGGGCGCTAAAGCGATCCAGAGCTTAAGTGACTCCATGTTCTGAAATACACACACTGCAACAGTCTCAATGCTCTTGACACGAAACAGTTAGAAAACAGCTGCGGAAACACGAGCAGGTGTTCTGTCCAAAACTCATACCCTCAAAAACTCTCAAGCAGCTCGCGGGTGAAAACATCACAAGACTGACCTAACGGATTTCTCTGTCGCTTTCAGCTTTATCTTTCTCAGCCAACGACCTTCTACACCTCTAGGTCACATATGATCAACGTTTCACTCTCGCAGCAAAACAAAACTCATTTGTTCATTTCTGTCCAGGCAACCAACCACAGGGTACTAAGACTGTTTCTACTGATGTCTCCTCACAAACAAACAAGCTAAGGCTCAGCAGTAACACTCAATCCAACTTCTTTGAGTAGTTCTTCTTCCAAAGTAGCCTCTGGGATGTCGACTACGTCCATCAGCTCACTGTCTGAGACGCTAGGCACATCATCACCAGAATTCGGTACTGCTTCTCCACACTCACTTGGAGATTTCGCTGCATCTACCGGAGGTAGTTCTCTCCTGATACATGCCACATCTTCTTCCACATCTATAGGAGTAGGCGCTGTGGCAGCATCAACGAGAGGTGCCCGACGTTTCCTGGTGGAGAAAGGTTGACTCTTACAGGACTTATCCTTCACCTTTGCAGCAGCCATCTTACTCTTTGGGCGATCCAACTTTGTAGCCTTCTTGTATTGAAACTCCTTGGAGTGAGACATTCCAGCTCCACTTGAGGTTGGCTCCTCGTTCGAAAGTTCTTTCTGGTCTTCCCGAGTGGACATGGCAATCTGATATACCTTTGAACCGCTTGAGCAACACTTGGCACCATCAGCGACAGGCATGATCCCCACTTTCAATCATCTACAGCGCACTCCAAAACATAAAAGTTTCATGCGTATTGGGCTCCAAAATTCAAATCTACCTCCAGATTGAGTAACACTGAAACGGCAACTCAGAAAGTGCTCTTTACATACTCATTCCAGTCACTTGATACACCTTTTCCTGTCACTCCTCCTCCATGGACCAACTGAGTTCAAGATCTAAGACATGCCTTAATTGTTTGCAAGAACCATGTACCTAACACCATCAGTTCCCAACCTTTGCACTTTGATCCAATACCTCAGTGTCCTTGGGTCTTGGGTGTCAAACCTGGCAATCAGTTGTCCCACCGGATTATGCGAACCAGTTCTTCTCGTCCTCACCTTAGTGTGTTTCATCTCCAATTTTGCAGTAAATTACCTACTGTCACTTCATACTGCCGAAACGAATCTCCTACGTCCAGGAACGTCCCATCCATGCATACCTCTCCAGATACTCCAGCGTAGCCTTGCAATAGTGACCCTACGCTAGCAATACGTCACGCCATCACACAGACCCCTACCAGAATACTGCCAAGACCACATGGACACCTTCCAAAGACTACGCACCTACACAAGGTGGAAATAAAAACTTGCTCTGAAAGAATCCACTGTCAACACAAACTCAACTCCTCCGTCCAAGTCACAAGTGTCCTGCCCGGGGCTGACTAATCTTGTATGCTCTTCTACAGGTACCACTGTCGACAGTTTACATGGATCCACTTCTGTCCAGCCTACCAAGCACACACCCTGCCGATTCTTGCTCAACTTGCAAACGAATAGACGTCCAAAAAACGATAGGTCCACGATCCTCATGATCCGTAGAAATCTATACAAAAAAACAGAGTCTCAAAGTCACCTGAACCAAACAGACTCCAACCAACTTCACACTCCCTAGTGACCTTATACTTTCAGATCATCACCTCCTGTGAAACAGGTGCACCTTAGTACGAGCTCATCTCTGCCTCTGCGTCCAGATCACGGAGCTCCAATATCCAAGATCCCAATCTCACCTTAGATGACGTCCTTAGCATCTTGTCACAAACAAGGGTCAGCGGAAGATGGTGTGGGTAGCCCTTTTCAGGGCTCCGCTACCATGTGAAAAACGTAAACCCAAGTACACCTCTCGTGTACCCAAATCAACGCTTTCGTTATCTCACTACGCCAGACGCAAACACCTACTGTGGTTGCGGCCCCGCAGTTACTTACTTCTCTGCAATGTCAAAATAAAGGAACTTGTTCCACCCTGACTCCTAAGTGCACGTCAGACTCCTTCTTTTCTCTCCAGACGCCACACACAACGGAACAGGTCAACAGGAACCAAGGCAGGCACACGGCCACAAACCAAAAGGAGATTCCAGTGTGGCTACTGTTTCAAATGCCCTAGGTGACACTGCAGTTCAGTTCGCTTCGGAACACTTGACACCACTCCCTTGAGCCGATGTCTCAACTGGGAAACTCGATTCCAGGTTTCCAATACACAACCTTCCCTCAAAGGTTGTTGAAACAATTCCAAACTGCTATGATATACAAATCACCTAGTCACAAAACGTCAGAAACATTTCCAAAAGTTCTCAAGTCAAACTGGTTCTCGTCCAAACGCAAATAACCAGCTAGCCGGTGTTACTAGTCTCTACCAAACGTCTAGACTAGTTACACGGCTATTCAAGAACGAAATGATCCATTCAAATTCCTTTACAAAATTCTCTTGCAATACAGAACAACATGGGAACCTCATGTTCCATCTCCAAAACAGTTCTTCACACAGAGATGTCTTCTCATAGCTCCAAACCACCGTGGAGAGCAGAATGTTCTGCTCGACTTCTCAGCTAATATCCAGTCATCAGCAGTCATAGCGCTAAAGTAGTTCGCTCACTGCAATAACCAAACATCAGCAATAAGTCACAAATACAAAGGTCACAAAGTAGACTTCCAGATCAAATACCCAGAGGTCGAATACTATACGCAGGCATTGTCCTCACAATGCCGGAGTATCTCACATACTCGCAAGAGGTAATCAAAAGGCTTCACAAACATCTCAGATGTACGAAGCAACGTCAAGAATCGAAACGGATGTTCCAAAACCATCTCCGTCAGATTCACACTCCCATAAGGAGTCAAGGAACCTCCGAGATCGATGAAACCATATCATCCCGACTCAACTGTATAGCGAATGCTTCTGAAAGCATTCGCCCACTGTCACAAAGCTAAATAAAGCTTTAAACTGTATTCCAAGTAGCTTGAGCTCCGTATAGATTCACTCAGACCCACAGGTCGATATCTCAAATCATCTCTTGCAGCTCCGTGTACCACAAAGGAATATCGAAACTACTTAAGTCTGTTGTAGACACCTTCCCATAGTCCAGTTTCACCACTGAAGACTCAATGAATGCTTGTCGCACCAATGCCAAGTTGCAACCCCATAAGGGTGACAAACTTCCACAGAGAGTGCCACTGGATCGCGCCAGTGTTTGTGAAAAACGTAAACCCGAGTACACCTCTCGTGTACCCAAATCAACGCTTTCGTTATCTCACTACGCCAGACGCAAACACCTACTGTGGTTGCGGCCCCGCAGTTACTTACTTCTCTGCAATGTCAAAATAAAGGAACTTGTTCCACCCTGACTCCTAAGTGCACGTCAGACTCCTTCTTTTCTCTCCAGACGCCACACACAACGGAACAGGTCAACAGGAACCAAGGCAGGCACACGGCCACAAACCAAAAGAACCAGTGTGGCTACTGTTTCAAATGCCCTAGGTGACACTGCAGTTCAGTTCGCTTCGGAACACTTGACACCACTCCCTTGAGCCGATGTCTCAACTGGGAAACTCGATTCCAGGTTTCCAATACACAACCTTCCTCAAAGGTTGTTGAAACAATTCCAAACTGCTATGATATACAAATCACCTAGTCACAAAAAAGTCAGAAACATTTCCAAAAGTTCTCAAGTCCAACTGGTTCTCGTCCAAACGCAAATAACCAGTTAGCCGGTGTTACTAGTCTCTACCAAACGTCGAGACGAGTTACACGGCTATTCAAGAACGAAATGATTCATTCAAATTCCTTTACAAAATCCTCTTGCAATACAGAACAACATGGAACCTCCTGTTCCTTCTCCAAAACAGTTCTTCGCACAGAGACATCTTCTCATAGCTCCAAACTACCGTGGAGAACAGAATGTTCTGCTCGACTTCTCAGCTAATATCCAGTCATCAGCAGTCATAGCGCTAAAGTAGTTCGCTCACCACAATAACCAAACGTCAGCAATAAGTCACAAAGACAAAGGTCACAAAGCAGACTTCCAGATCAAATACCCAGAGGTTGACTACTATACGTAGGCATTGTCTTCTCAATGCCGGAGTATCAGACTTCCAGATCAAATGCCCAGATGTCGAACACTATGCGTAGGCATTGTCCTTACAACGCTGAAATATCAGACTTCCAGATCACATACCTAGATGTCGAATACTATACGTAGGCATTGTCCTCACAATGCCGAAGTATCTCACATACTCGCAAGAGGTAGTCAAAGGACTTCACAAACATCTCAGATGTTTGAAGCAACGTCAATAATCGAAACGGAGGTTCCAAAACCATCTCCGTCAGATTCACACTCCCACAAGGAGTCAAGAAATCTCCGAGATCGATGAAACCACATCATCCCGACTCAACTGTCTAGCGAATGCTTCTGGACATTCGTCCACTGTCTCAAAGCTAAATAAAGCTTCAAACTGTATTCAAAGGAGAATCGAGATCCAAGTAGATTCACTTAGACCCACAGGTCGATATCTCAAATCGTCTCTTGCAGCTCCAAAATACCACAAAGCAATCTCGAGACCACTCAAGTCTGATGCAGACACCTTCCCATAGTCCAGTTTCACCACTAAAGTCACTAAAGGATTAATGAAGGTCATGTCGCACCAATGCCAAGTTGCAACCCCGTAAGGGATACAAACTTCCACACCCCCTTTCGACAGGACATTCATTTCTCTCTATACATACTCAAATTCATATCCAGTATGAACTTCGCCATACCTTCAAGGTCAAACTCGTAGAATACGTCGTATTCGCCAGGAGACTTCGATGCTCCAAGCACCTCAACGGAAAATGAAGTCTAAACTCCTCTGAAACATTCGAAGTTTCCAAAAACATATAACTGTCTCTGAGAAATCACCTGATCCTCAAAGAAATAGACGGTTGTTCCTCCAACACGTCGCTCATCGTAAATAAACAGCCTATCCATATCCACAACCATCGTCAGCGCGGATTTCAGCAATACTCCATAGACGTCTTCATGGGCACAGTTCCCATCTATCCTTAACCAGTCAACATCACCAGGTCAAAATCCATCGACTGATCAAAGAGACCATGGCGTCAATTCACGATCAACTACAGTGCTTTTTTGTGGTTCCCTAGAACAGACGGAAACAAAACAAAACACCAACAACACACACACGAGATCCAAGACGAAGACAGACGAAGCACTGTCGGAGTCAACACAAAAACAAAGGCCGACTGTTTCAGCTAATCCACGTCTTCCATTGGAAGATAGGCGTGTCAGACAAGCGAAACTGTCATCAGTCCAGAATACTCAGATAAAATCCACTTTCGTGGAACTAAAATTAAGCTCATGGCCTTGCGGCACCACGCAGACCCAGCTTCAGACAAGCTAAGTGCGAGGCGCGCTAAGCTCAGGACATATTTCCAAAAAATAAAACAGACCTTGCCCCCTTTTGAGGTAAAATCCATTAATCCTAAACCATCACTAAAATGAATTCCGATCAGCATAAAGGCTGATCTATCGCATATTGAGCAAACAAGCAAAAACAACCAAAACAACTTACGACCATTCTACTTACAAACATATTAACAATGTCAGGGAAATCCATTCCACTGACACCAACGTATTTAGAACCGTCAAGAGGACAATTCCAACAACATTGACATGAACCTCAAATCCGGGATATCCAATCCACTGACATCCATGAATAAAACAAAACCAAAAAACACCTTTACATGTGTTTCCATCAGACATTTAGCCTGGATCCTCTGTGATTCTTCGCTTATTCGAGAATCGGATCTGGCCATGTCATCATCTGGAAAACGGCGGCAGACAAATACAAACCACCATCAACGACAAAATAAAAACAACACTCACAAAACACAAACTCGCAACGAATCCACAAACATGCTCATGTGTCACTTGTGTCCCATCCATGTCCTGTACATCCACTTATATATCACCCAAAAGTTGATCCTTCCAGGATACAACCCAGTGAAATTCCTTGCCCCCTTTCAAGATCTGCTTTCCATCTCTCCTTTTCTGCTGAGCACAGATATCTGAAGCGACGGCAACGAATACATGATGGATAGAGTGAACCTCGAGCTGGCCAACGGCTGAAATACCAGTTACCAACTATTCTCTCTACCATACAGGTTGCAAGGAAATCAAAAGGAATATACCTCCTGGGTTTCACCCAAAGGCAGCAGGCGGGCCTCTCTCAGCTCTCAGTAGCCAATGTCCCGAACTTCCATTCTCAATAAATCCTCCTGAATTGAGAATTCCCATCTCGAATCATCCCCAATCCCTGGGGAGCCCAGGCACTGGTGATTCCAGTGAGTTGTTCAGGACGATATGCCGTCGGTGACAATGTCCTCTGTACCCCCGTCCCCGCATCTCTGGTAACGATGCCCGCACGCTGGCACGGTGTTGGGATCGGAAGGGGAGTACTTGGTCTCGGCCCATTCGGCTGTTCCGGACAGAACGCCATAAAGAGCGACACTGGCAACGCCGGAGGTGGCAAAGTCGTTGTGACATGGGCACCAGGAGCCGATCCAGGCAATGGCAACCCCCCGGAACTGATGGATCCCGTACCTGGCAATGGCACTCCTCCTGAACTGGTAGATCCAGCACGTCCAGTGCTTCCAGGAGTCCCCATCACTGGAGCGCCAACTGCTGGTGCACCAATTGCTCCCGGCGTAAGGGGCGTCTCAGTTTCTGTCGCACCCTCTGACACTGGAATTGCACCTGGGATTGCCATACCCTGAGGTTGCTCCCTCAACAGCTTCACCAATTCCTGGATATGTCCACTAAGGCTTTCGAAGCCACTATTCATACTGGCTTCCAGCTTCTTTGCTTGCTTTTCAACCTCTCCTTGGACTCCTTGGATGTTGGTCTCCACCGTCTGGCTTCCAGCCAGAGCCCAACGACTCGTGTTAGCCCACCGATCAAAGGCTTTGAGAAGCTTGGTGACTTCTCCAGCTTGAAATGCCACTCCTGCTGTCATCGTGGTGATACAATGGTTGGTACCTTTGATCTGTGTACTGAGCTCTTGAAATCCCTTTTGCAACTCCAATCTTCCATTGTTGAATTCATCAAAGGTAAGACCCAGATCCTCAATCACTTTGCCGATCTTCGTGGTACACTCCGAGAGCTTCTGAGCGAGTTCCAAGATCTCCATACCACTAGATGCTGGTGGTGGCACGGCAGTCATCTCATCCGGAACTCTCTCTAGTACACCCGGGGCTCCCTCTGACATATCTGGAGCTCCCTCAGTCATACCTGTGTTTCCCTCTGTCATGCCCAGGGCTTCCTCAGGCACACCTGGGGCCCCCTCTGGCATATCTGGGGTCTCAGATTCAGCTGCCTCACGTCCTCGGGACCTGGAACGGGCTCGTCCTTCCTCGGCCATTTTCAGCGTGCGTTCTAGGCGCGTTCTAAGAGCTTGCAGCACTCTACTGGACAGTCCCGGCTGACAATGGAGCCTCATGCCCTATAATCTCAATGTCACAAGCACCAGACAACCAAATCAACCAACATGTTGCGTAAGTTCAACAATATAACTAACTGACGAAAATGTTTCCCAAAATGCCAGATGTCTCCAACATACTGGAATTTTGCGAACCATTGACACATATGTTTCAACATGCAATAAAGGTCTGTGTTCGTCCTCAAATCATGGAAATTGACCAAACCCCTGTACAAAAATCAGTCCTCAATCCATGAAGGACCACCATGAGTTCAGGTTTACCGTGCGCTCCCTACGATATGCAGTGCAGATTCACTGTCTCTCATTGACATGCATGCAGGTATCCTGGAAGAAAACATGTCTCCGTGGTTTCGCGAGAACCCTTTGACAAGTCATCTTCACAAAGCTGCACCCACCAAACGACACACTGACAGCAAATCTCAATTGCAAATAAGAAACAAGGCGCATTAAAAACACACACAAACTTGTTTGGGTTTCACGTTTCGTTCGTTTCGTTTAAGTTGACAATTCCACACATTACCAGCTTCTCATCTTACAACATGCTTGCATCGACTACCATAGCATTCTTTCACCGACCACAGGCATCCAAAGGGAACCTTCGCCAACTTGCAACAGCTGGCACGGCTCAAACAAAACCTAAAGTACAATAATCTACAACTTGCCCACTCTTCAGTTTCCAGCAGGACGCTCACGTACTGGCTCATTAGCAACCATGGGGTCAATGATCTGATAGAGCAATCTTCCCTGCTCATCACGTTCTTCTGGAACAAGAAATCCATACCAACGAAACTCACCAGGTCGAAGCTTCTCCAGTACATTTGCTTCCATCTTCCGAAAATAGCCCAAAGCAGTTATCTCTACCTGAAGGAGGCTGTAATCGAAGTAGTTGTGAGCGTTGCACCAGTGAGCATCTGTGCCACGCCCGATGGGCGCATGGGTCGCACTCAAATCTATCCTGGAGGTATAGATGTCTGGCTGGACTCTATGATGCGTCCGCAGCTCCTCCATCTGTGGTGGGGCGAGAGCTATCCACAGACGAATGCTATCCTCCATTGAGTTCAAACCGAGATTACTTCCCAGACTCAGCAAAGAAAATGGCTTCGCGACATCGATGCAAACATGCAGCTCAATTGCTTTTCCATGTGGATTAACACTCACTGCAAATTTCTGTCCATGCTGATCTCTTGACTGTGAACTCTGCCGCTTACAGTTCTTCCAAACCAACGACCTACCAATCTACAGTCACTTTCCAGTTCAACATGACAACTCCACACGTCAAAACTCACAGTTTCACTACAGCAAATCCAACAAAAAACAACAAACTGTTCGTCCGTCACATGAGCAACGCAGACTCATATGCTGCTGAAGTTGCTGAAGACACTCTTTCTTCTTTCTCTTCTGCATTTCAAACTGGAGTTTCAAAAACCATACCTAATACTCCATGGTCTGCCCAACTTCTGTACCTGGACCCTGACCAGTTAAATGAACTTGGCGGCCATCTCACTAATACGGTATAACATGCGTCCTTGGCTATCCCGTTCTTCATGCTTCACAGGCCCATGACAGCGATACTCGGTGGGCTTTGTCTTCTCCAAGATTCCGCCCTCAACCTTTTGAAGGTAGCCAAGCGCTGAGATTTCCATCTCCATCACTGCATAGTCTTTCTGATGGTACTCACCTTTCAATCCATCAGGCGTCCAATCCATAAAGTATTGAGCACGATTCACCGCTTCCGCAGGCCCCAAACGCAGACCAAAGCGACCGGAGTATCCATCTGGAAAAACCTCATTCCCCTTGTTCAACTCTTCCAGCTGCTTGGGCTCTAAAGCAATCCAGAGCTTAAGTGACTCCATGTTCGAAAACACACACAGTGCAGCGGTCTCAAATGCTCTTGACACGAAACAGCTAGAAAACGGCTGCGGAAACACAAGCAGGCTATCTAACCACAACTCATACATTCAAAACAAACTATCAAGCATCGTGGGAGTGAAAACATCACAACAACCGACCTAGTGGCTTTCTCTGTGTCGCTTTCAGCTTCTCCTTTTCCAGCCAACGACCTTCTACGCCTCTAGGTCACATATGATCACCGTGTCACTCTCGCAGCAAAACAAAACTCATTTGTTCATTTCTGTCCAGGCAACCAACCGCAAAGCCCTAAGGCTACTTCCACTGGCGTCTCCTCTCAAACAAACAAGCTATAAGGCTCATCAGTAACACTCAGACTAACTTCTTTGAGTAGTTCTTCTTCCAAAGTAGTCTCTGGCATGTCGTCCACATCTGTCAGCTCGCTGTCTGAATCATACGGAAGGGCACTCTGCACATCGTCCCCAGAATTCAGTACTCTTTCTCCACATTCACTTGCAAGCCTCGCCGCATCTACCGGAGGCTGTTCCCTCTTGATGCCTGCCACATCTTCATCTGCATCTATCACAACAGGAGTAGGCGCCGTGGCAGCATCAATGAGAGGTGCTCGACGGTTCCTAGTGGAGAGAGGTGCCTGCCGATTCCTGGTGGATAGAGGTGCCTGCCGATTCCTGGTGGATAGAGGTGCCTGCCGATTCCTGGTGGAGATAGGCTGACAATTCCAGAACTTATCCCTCAACTTCGCAGGAGCCCTCTTACTCTTTGGGCGAGCCAACTGTACAGCCTTCTTGTATTGGCCTTCCTTGGAGTGAGACGTTCCAGTTCCACTGGAGGTTGGCCCTTCTTTCATAAAACCTTTCAGGTCTTTGCGGGTAGACATAGCAAACTGATCTACCTTTGAACCTCTTGAGCAATACCTGGCACTATCAGTGACAGGCATGTTACCCACTTTCAATCATCCACAGCGCACTCCAAAACATAAAGTCTTCATGCGTATTGGGCTCAAACAAAAACAAATCTACCTTCAGATTGAGTGACACTGAAACGACAACTCAGAAAGCGATCTTTGCCTATTCATTCCAGTCACCTGATACGCCTTTTCTTATCACTCCCTTTCTATAGACCAACTGAGTTCAAGATCCAAGACATGCCTCAACCGTTTGCAAGAACCATGTACCTAACATCCTCAGTTCCCAGCCTTTGCACTCTGATCCATTACCTCAGTGTCCAGTGTCCAACCTGGCAATCAGTCGCTCTACCAGATTATGCAAATCAGTTCTTCTCGTCCTTACCTTAGTGTGTTCCAATTGCAAGGTTGCAGCAAGTTACCTACTGTCACTTCATACTGCCGAAACGAATCTCCTACGTCCAGGAACATTCCATCCATGCATACATCTCCAGATACTCCAGCGCAGCCCTGCAATAGTGACCCTACGCTAGCAATACGTCACGCCATGACACAGACTCCTACCAGAATACTGCCAAGACCACATGGACGCTTTCCAAAACTACGCACCTACACAAGGTGAAAATGAAGCTTGCTCCAACAGAATCCACTGTCATCACAAACCAAACAAAAAACTCAACTCCTCCATCCAAGTCACAAGTGTCCTTCCCAGGGTTGACTAATCTTGCATGCACTTCTACAGGTACCACTGTCGACAGTCTACATGGGCCCACCTCTGTCCAGCCTACCATGCACACACACCCTGCCGATTCTTGTTTGACTTGCAAACGGATGGTCACTTAAAACTGATAGATCCACGATCCTCATGACCTGTAGAAGTCAATACAACCAAGAAACAGAGTCTCAAATTCACCTGAACCAAACAGACTCCAACCAACTTCACACTCCCTAGTGACCTTATACTTTCAGATCATCACCTCCTGTGAAACAGGTGCACCTTAGTACGAGCTCATCTCGCGTCCAGATCACGGAGCTCCAATATCCAAGATCCCAATCTCACCTTAGATGACGTCCTTAGCATCTTGTCACAAACAAGGGTCAGCGGAAGATGGTGTGGGTAGCCCTTTTCAGGGCTCCGCTACCATGTGAAAAACGTAAACCCGAGTACACCTCTCGTGTACCCAAATCAACGCTTTCGTTATCTCACTACGCCAGACGCAAACACCTACTGTGGTTGCGGCCCCGCAGTTACTTACTTCTCTGCAATGTCAAAATAAAGGAACTTGTTCCACCCTGACTCCTAAGTGCACGTCAGACTCCTTCTTTTCTCTCCAGACGCCACACACAACGGAACAGGTCAACAGGAACCAAGGCAGGCACACGGCCACAAACCCAAAGAACCAAAGTGTGGCTACTGTTTCAAATGCCCTAGGTGACACTGCAGTTCAGTTCGCTTCGGAACACTTGACACCACTCCCTTGAGCCGATGTCTCAACTGGGAAACTCGATTCCAGGTTTCCAATCCACAACCTTTCCTCAAAGGTTGCTGAAACAATTCCAAACTGCTATGATATACAAATCACCTAGTCACAAAAAGTCAGAAACATTTCCAAAAGTTCTCAAGTCAAACTGGTTCTCGTCCAAACGCAAATAACCAGCTAGCCGGTGTTACTAGTCTCTACCAAAACGTCTAGACTAGTCACACGGCTATTCAAGAACGAAATGATCCATTCAAATTCCTTTACAAAATCCTCTTGCAATACAGAACAACATGGAACCTCCTGTTCCATCTCCAAAACAGTTCTTCACACAGAGATATCTTCTCATAGCTCCAAACTACCGTGGAGAACAGAATGTTCTGCTCGACTTCTCAGCTAATATCCAGTCATCAGCAGTCATAGCGCTAAAGTAGTTCGCTCACCACAATAACCGAACGTCAGCAATAAGTCACAAAGACAAAGGTCACAAAGCAGACTTCCAGATCAAATACCCAGAGGTTGACTACTATACGTAGGCATTGTCTTCTCAATGCCGGAGTATCAGACTTCCAGATCAAATGCCCAGATGTCGAACACTGTGC